GACAGCCCTCTGCCTCGGATCCGGCGTCAGCATGTCGTTCACCGCCATCCAACTCGCGCTCAACGATGTTTCGCCGAGCCCCGCCATCCTGGGAACCCTCAACGCCGTTGCACTGTCGGTTACCACGGGCGTCAGAGCTGTTTCGCCGGCCTTGTTTGCAAGTCTGTTTGCCTTGGGTGCAGGCAAGCAGTGGCTGTGGGGTTATGCCATCTGGGTACTGATGACGATGATGGGGGCCTGGCTGGTAGTCATCTGCAGATATTTGCCCGACTACCAGGAGCTGAAGAGGCAGCGGGCGCGGGAGCGGGAGAGGGAGAGGGAGAGGGTAGAGAGGGCGGGCTACAGAGAGGCGGGCGATGTTGTCTTTGGGGTGGCGAGTCACTTTGGATGTGAACAAGCACATGGCAGTTGTAGATAAAAAAACCCGCCGGAGGACTTGCCATCGCGGTATTTCGGCACAAGGAGATAGGAGAGTCCCAGGTCTGACACCACGCTGCAGGAGTACGATAAGGTTCTCCTCAAGCTCACTAGGATTGGATCTCGGTCGTGAATAGACAGGAACGCATGTAGGGGCATGTATGTACATGTAGTATCAACACTTCAGCGGCGGTATCTTGCCAATACATTAAGGTGACCCGGTGAAGTCCAAAGGGGCTTCCCTCAGCTCTGACCACCTAGTCATACAAACGAACCTTGTTAGCCAAAGCATTTGCTGTCGTACATGGAGGCAAAAGCCAAGCTTTGCTGGCCACGGTCGCTTTCCGGTTTGAGAGGTAGGAGTATCAACAGCGCCGTCTGATAGACGCCGAAACTATGTTCGCTATCTAGAGAGGAGGAGTCTATAGACATCTTTCCCTAGAAAGGGGATAACGGCCTGCTCAACATAAAAGCGGCTATTCTCCTCAAAAGTACTATATGTACAAAATGACCTCCTATGCAATCCCAAAGGGTTCAAATATGAAGACTATTTCTACAATGGTATTTTATCCTTACAATATACAGCAGAAACACTGCTTACCAATATCTGCTCCGAAGTACTGTTGCCCGACGACGGGCCGTATTTCATCAGGTAAAACTTGCAGACCACTGCCGCCATCCGCAAAACCTGTTGCTCTCTGACCTTGTCCGCTAGCCGCCGAGCATGTCATCTGGAAGATTAGTAGCCGTGAACACCCGAGGACTCGTACACTCCGTTGCCGCATCAAACCGTAAAAAGCAACCCATGAAACTGTTGACAAGTCTTGAACGCCGCTGATGTAGCAAAGTAAACCCACAAGGTCCCCACCTCTCCTAGACGGATCCCTGTCCCTCGGATTTGGCCGCCTGGCTGAGCATCATCATCAGCAGCGTGGCCGCACCGTTGTCGTCGTCCACCATGACCTCGTCCGAGGTATCTGAGGCGGCAATGTCATCCATCGTGCCAACAGCATCCATCATGGCTGGAGGGCCGGTCAAGGTCCGCTTTTCGGCAGTGGGGACAGGGATCTCGGGGATGATGCGCATCTCGGCAGTCCGTCCGCAGATCTCGGGCGTGACCCGTCCGGCGAAGCCATTCTCCGTCTCGAGGATGCGACCGCAAGTGCGCTTGAGCTGGTACATAACCGCCCACCACATCTCGGGGTCTTGTCCGGGAGGGGCAATGATCTGCTCACGGGGTAGGTCGCCCAATACCATGGTCTCGGCGGTCCACTGCGGCACAGGAGTCCGCAGGGGGCCGCGCGGGACGAGGACATGAATTTGTCGCATGGCGGGGAAGACGTTCCACAGGCGCGTCATGGCGTCACGCCTGGGGTGTTCGCCCATGAAGGACAAGTCGGCAGCAATGTTGAGCATCATAACGCGAGTGAAGCGCTCGTGGACTAGGACGGGCTGGCGCGAGAGGAGAGCACGCTGGAGCCGGTCGCGGGTCACGTAGTAAATGTCATGGGCACTGTCGACCCAGCGCCAGACGGTGTGGTTGTCAACACCGCAAAGACGGTAAAGGGTTCTGTAGCGAGTGAAAATGTAGCGAGCAAGGCGACAGGTGAGGGCCAAGCCGGCGAAGGCCGAGCGAGACACCTCTACGCCGCCGGAAAGAGTGATTTCGGTGAAGAAGATCTGAGGGCCCGAGGCAGCTTTGAAAATAGCCGTCTGCATCTCGAAGGGGAGCTTGGAGATACTAGGTCTCGACGGCTCAGCAAGGAGAGCGCCACGCGGATACTTAATCCTGACCTCGGGGTCGATCGGGGCAACTTGGGGGGATGTCTGAGGTTGAGCCATGACTTCTTGTTCCTTCAGTGATGTTTACATGCAAAAAAAGTTGAGATGCGGAGCCTTCCTGGCAGAGCCAGCGGTAAGACTTGCAATGTGAATGAGAAGTTGAGAGGTGAGGTGTTGGCAATGAGAGAATTCTCTCTGCTGTGCTGACGCTGGAGACGTGGGCTGAAAGGTGTGTCGAGTATATGGTTATATTGCCCCCCACCACTTGGCGATATTCCTAGGAAACTTACTTCAAGTCAGTACATTTCTGGTGATGATCACCATGAGCGAGGTTGAAATGAAGGAAATCCAGAGTTGAATCTGGCTGAGTAAGTGAAGCGAGGCTGCATTGGGAATAATCCGCTTCAAATAAACGTGAATAGAGAGTCGCGTCTCGGTGACTCGGTGTGGAGGTAGAGATGGGCCTTGCGGGAACAGTGGCACCCGCCAGGTGCTGCGAGCCCAGGCCCCACAGCACGCGGATCCGGCGCCGCGGTCGACCCCAACACTCGATGCAGGGCACTTGGGTAAGGTTAAGTAAGGTAAGGTATTTGGCAACTTACCGATTCGGCTAGGTATGCAACCGTATGCAATAGCCCATCCCAAGAAACCAGGGTCTTGGCAATTTGAGGGCGATGCAAAGTCAACGAGATTTCAAGGATTGCGGCAATTGGCAAAGCGAAGCAAAACAAAAAAAAAGGAATTTCGCTTGGTCTCGTCGGTGGTTTGTGCTTTTCCATTCGCTAGTGGTTGCAGACGACTTGCCAGCGCTTGGATGGAGAGTCGGGAGTGGAGTCAAGTTCCTGCCCTCCTCGTCGAGCTAGTGGTCCCCTATCGATAAGGAGACATGAGGTGCTGTGATTCGCTGCTGTCTCGGGCATGAGTGATTGGCAGGCGGCTTGAGGCAGGGCAGGGATACGGCCTGGTTTGCTGCACTCACCCACCTGTCTACGTCATATGGTCCCCTCTGTCCAATCCAACGGCCTCCTGTCTCCGAGCTGAGCACGGCTCGATGGAAATTTTGCGAAGAGACAACCTCGAAATTCCACAGCATAGCCTGGCAGCTTCACTCCGCAGCCTTGTCTGGCTCTTGTTTGGCTCTTGGCAGGCCTAGACCGCCCATATAGCCGTTTGTTAGACACCAGTCGGGCACCAGAACCGATGATGTGACCAGCCGACCTGGTGTCTTGTCCAACTTTGCGCGTCCTACATATGAACCCCGTCCCGCCCCTCCCACATTTCCTTTTCTACTACACCATAACTAGGATCCCCTTTTTCTTCCGTCGCGACTAGGCCCTGTTCCAGGAGTGCCAATATCGGCCCTCGTCCTACCCTGTTCTCTCTGTTCTCTGCTCTCCATCTTCCCCGCAACGATCCTGCGCTCTGATCTTGAACCTTCCTATATATCTCTACGCCTAGCCTCCCAGCTGCACAGTGCCTCCCCTACCACCGCTTTATTGTTGCTCGAGCCATTATATCTCCGAGGCTGCCTGTCACCTCAACTTGACATTCTCGTCAACCTGCCACCGGCATAGCAACACCCAAACCCCTATCCCGTCGCCAGGTTCCCACCAGTAAGCAGACCAATTCCCACTCGACGACTTCTCTGTACACCCCCCCCCCTGACACCCCTCAAAGTGCCTGTCTACGAGCGCGAATACCGCCACGCCAAAAAACGGCTCTACCTCGAGCCCCCCCGGCATGGCGCAACCCACGTCCGCCGCAAGGTGACCACCATCGTCCCAGCCCCAGCCCCACCTCCACCACCTGCCGTCATCATCGAACAGCCGCCTCCGCCTCCTCCAGTGTTCTACCTGCCTCCATCACCACCTCCCATCATTGAGCGGCCCACTCCACCCCCACCACCGCGTCCCGCGCCCGTCATATTTGAGGACGACACCATCGACGTCATCGCCGTCGACATCGAGCCTTCAGAGCGCCGGCGCCACCGCCGCCGCCGGAGTCGTAGTCGTAGTAGCAGCCGGAGTCGGGATCGCGAGGTGGTCATTGAGCGGGAGAGGATGGTACCGTACCCTGTTCCTGTGCCCGTGCGTATGCCAGTTCCAGTGAGACAGGAGTTGGAGACGTATCGCTATGTCGAGGGGCCAAAGCCGAGGCCACGGGTGCAGAGATACAGCCCGCCTCCGCCGAGAAAGGAGGAGAGTGTGGACAGGGAGAGGATCAATATCACCATTGAAGACCGGCATCAGCATGAGCATCGCTATCGGGATGAGGGACGAGAGAAGAGGTATTACGGGGATTCTCATTATGGAAGGTAACCTTGTGTTTGAAAGATGGAAGGGCTGGTCTGGAGTTATCTGGGTTTCATTTTGACATAATTTGACAACGTATCATGGGGTCTGGATCTATCATGCCATACCAGAATATAGCACATCATGGAGACGATCGATAATGTTTTGACTAATGCCTGCCCTGCCAATTTCCTCACCGCGTCTGTCAACACGGAGGTATCGAACATTACATCTATAACCTCACACTGCTTTTGCCGACGAACAAATCTAAGCCCTAGCAATCAAGCTAACCAAAAGAAAAGCCACCATCTGACCATAAATAAACTGAAGTCCTGCGTGGCAATGAGTGGGAAAACAAGCCCAGGCCCCAGACTCGTTGGCCCCCTTGTTCGCTAGCTCGCTCTGAACCTAGATCATCTATTAGGATCGTACTCGGCCCCATCGATGTTTCTCCTACTCCACCACGTCGGAGTCTATGTGACTCACTCCACGGTCCCAGGGTCGACAACGGGTCGCATGGTGTAGTTGGTTATCACGTCAGTTTAACAGAGCTTCGAGCCCCTAGTTCGTCTGTTGGCAAGTTCCGCTGAAGGTCCTCAGTTCAATCCTGAGTGCGATCATAGAAATCAATATTTCTGCCATATTACCCTTCTGGGGGAACTCTGGGCCGGATTTGGTTCTAATTAATTGTTTGCTTCCAGCCTTTGGTTTGAGTTCTATCCCACTCGGGAGGCACAATTTGACAGGGGGCGGCAAGATTTTGCTGTCACAGTGTTAGCTGCGCTGAATTCTTGGCACATCAGACTCAGATGAAGGGAGCAAATATAAGGTGAGAAAGCCATCAATATTTGGGGCTTAGGTGCTGGCGCCAGGAAACAACGTTGCGACGGTGACAGGTGACTGTAGTCAGTGGGCACTAGTAACCGATGAAAAAGTTAAGAAGAAAACAGGGCGAGAGTATTGCAGAATCCCTGCTCGGTCAGTTTTGAACCCAATTAATAATGTAGTCTGGTGCCCACGGATCGATCATCTTTCAACAATATTTTTGATGAGAAGCCTAGAACTTCGGGGGCCATTCCATACCTGCCTTGGCTACTGGTACCTGGCACTTGATCAACAACTAAAGACTCTCTCATGCTTCTCAACACCAAAGGTTTTTAGGACCAGCCTAGGACAAGACCGCTCATAAGCTCCGTGGCTTGGCAATTGCCCCAGATAGGTGTCTACCGTACACAGCAGCCGGGGACTCTCCAAATGTAGGCATATAATCCTCACGGCAAGTTTGATGAGCACTACGGTACTCCGAAATATTCACAAGCCCACCTTCCAGCTCAGCATGTCAGGTGGTAAAGCTTCACAGTAGACGAGTAGGAAGGGTTTTCTCCTTCACAAAGCACCCTCCGGGGACAGACGTAGTAACAGCTTGGGACTTTCGATTCCCATTTTCTAACTTGCTATTTGGCCCATTTGCTGTGGTTTAGAATTCTCGTCTGTAGAGTCTTGGTTTATTTAGGCAGCCCAAGACTGTCACAAAGCAACTCTCGGGATCAAGTTTGATGAACGGTCTGGAAGCCCGAGGGCGGGAGTTTCCCAAAGACATCCTTCAGCATGGCACCTGCCACGCAAGGTACCCCACCTTAGGAACCCGACAAAGGCTCCCGTGGACCACATGGCGTTAAAATTGAAAAACAACCCAACCCAGTAAAAGACCGTTCACGAACGCCAGAACTCAAGTGACCGAACTGGTATTGATACAAGAGCCCCTTCCCTGAAGCTTGCTAGCTTAAAAGAGCCTTCTCCGGCGCTCTCTCGGGCGGCTCTCCTCGACGCTCCCCTCAGCGCTTGGTAAACAAGCCGACAGGTCGCCCGGTAAGGCTCGGGTACCGAGGGCTGTGATGGCGGCAGCGGCGCGGGGCGTTTGAGTGAAACTGTGGCTAGTTGCTTCTGCTAGGAAGAATACTAACGAGTATGAAAAGTGTCGGCAGGAGCAGACATAAAATGCTTCAAATACCTTTGTGGGAAAGAGTGTCTGAAAAACCTCAATGAGAGAAAGGCGATAAGGTACCCCCACCCAGCTTCACTCGAAATCTCGGGGTACGTCCTGGTACTATCACTCTCCAACGCTCTATCCCTCGGCACTACAATGAGAGTTTAGATAATCAGGCCTAACACCTATATTTTCTCAGATAGCAGATGTCTCTGAACAAGTTCAGAGCCAAAACCAGAGCCTCGTTGATCGAGGCTATACGTACTCGGATGTCCCGGTCGGTGCCTGCTGCCCGTTCTTCTAGAAACTCGATGAAGTGGCCATCAGGCTGTTCCTACATCGAGGGTCCAACCTTTATCTGAAATCTTCGGAGTTGACCATTTCGACGAAAGACGTGCTTACAAAATCGATATTCCGAAGCGAAGTAGTAACCAACTACTTCATACCGTTTCTACACTGTTTCTTGATGGCAGTGGAAGAAGGTCAAATACGCCGCCAGGGGCTACCGAGAAAAAATACTGATGAGACAGCTGAAGAAGGGGTGATAGAGCTGGCCAAGCAGGAGGCAGAGATGTTGAAAAACTCTGCAGCACAGGAATCCGCCTTGAGCAAGGCACTGGCCACCCCTTGGACGGTCTGCCAGCATTTAAAGGCCACAAGAACACAGCCCCGCGACGATCAAGGTATATTCCAGCTCAAGTAACGCTCAAGCCCCTGCCATCAAATCAACGCTATACTGACTACGCTTTTTTTGGTGCTCCCCGCATTTGGGCTCGCTGAGATGGCTTCGGATACAGCCATTTAGGAGGCTGCCAGAGAGTTTCAAACAGCGCATGCGACTACATACACCACCCGGGTCCAGATTATCTTTGCGGTACTGGTGTTTTCCTAGATTAAGCGGGGCCCTGAACTTCGTGCCGAAGCTTATCGGACCAAGGGTATGGGGCAGCCGCCAGTCGTATCTCTGGGTTTTTTATCTTCTAACCTACTTAAGATTTCATGAGCTCTACCGTCTTAGAGCTTATTATCACCCTTTCAACCTCATCAAGCAGCTCTACGAAGATGACATCTCCGATGCATCATCTCGCGAGTATTACGAAATTAAGGAATACGATTAGGAGGCGGTTTTCACCGCTTTATCCCACCCTGCCCGAGAACCGTTCGGATTCCTGACCCCAGCAATGATAGAGGGATCAAGCTTGGGAGGCCCGTTCCTATAAATCCAGAAATTCGCTTTGAGCAAAATCCATCACTACCTTGGATTGGGCCCAATTTGGGGCACTGGACTTCCCAATATCCCACGCGATCAACATCGCCCACCCAGCTGCTACGTGGTTCCCCGGCTGGGTGGAGGAGCTGGCGAGCGAGGAAAAAGAGTTTTCCAGCCACGTAGCTCAATCCTCCACCAACGTCTTGCCAGTGAACCTTCAGGTCATGTCAGGCGGATGGGCTGCTAGGTTTGAAAAGAGATGGAAAGCTTAATAACAGACCTAGGATTCGCATATCACGTTGGGCCAAGATGGGGTCAAAGTATTTGAGCGAAAACCCAGGTTGGAGCTCACACCTCCCTGGGAAGGATGGTCTCCTCTGTGCCACCGGAAATCATAAAATCTCGGACTTTGGGAATCACCAAAACAAGATCCTATCCCCAAATTATCCGCGAGTTGGTACAAAAACCTCGTCAACTCAACAAGGGACTTAGGAAAATCTGATGAAGCAGGCGATCTCATTAAAACGCAAACTGCGGAATTCCAGCACTACCACTTCGAAATATTGGAAACAAGATGGTGACGCCTTGCAAACCAGAATCAGCAATCTAGAGACTGAAAATAAGAGGCATCTAGAAGAAATTGCGGGTCTCCATGCGGAGCTTCAAGAGCTCCGCCAAAGCGATCCGTTGCTGAGTGGTATTGGCGACGTGCCGAGCGATGAAGAGACTGCCCGTGGACGAATGAAGGAGGAAATTTCCAAGCTGAAGCTCGAACTCAGGGATACTCGGGCACAGTTTGAGGGGTGCTCTAGCAAAGCTCAACATATCTAATCGTACAGCAGAACTCCAAGAAGAAGCAGCCTCTGCCCCTACACCACTCCGGCTCACGCAACTTACGGTGGAGAAGGAACAATTGGAGAAAAGAATCCAGGAGCTGAACGAGGAGTCAATGCTAGTCAGCAAGAAGATCGGATCCCCGGGCGTCCTGCTATACACGCAGTCAATGTGGGAGCTCACCCAAAATGAGTTCAACAAGGCCACTGAACTTCTGGCCCAACGGGACGTTGAGCTAAGTAACACCCAGATCCAACTTGGGTTGGCGATGGAACAGCTGTCGATCTACGAGGAATCCGCTGGTACGAGCATGGCACCCCCGCTGCCAGAGGCATCCGGACGGCGTGCGCTGGAAGAAATGAGAACGGCGGATTAGGGTGGTCATGAGCTGAGCCGACTTTTACAATTATGGGCACATTTACTGATGCTCGCGGGCGACATTAGGCGGCGCGAGATCCTCTCAATTGGAAATCTGATCGAGGGCATCCGAGAGGTCGACCTCGCAACCCGATCTACCATCGATCAGATAAAGGGGGGTCTCAAAAACCTCGAGGGGCATCAACAAGTTCTCAAAGACTGACGCGTGGAAATCTGCAAGGCAGAGATGCGCTTAACAAAAGACGGGACATTATGAGAAACATGACCAAAGGGATCATCAAAGATCTGAAAGCTCATCTACTGCCATTATTATGATGGCTCTCTACCCAAAGATCTTCAGTTCTCGATCACGCTTTCCCCGATCCCCGACCGGGACTTGACCGACAAGATCTGGAGTATTTACAACTTCTACTCAGCACTAGTAGAAGGGGGAAAAAGAATGACGGAGGATTGCAAAATTCCGGATCACTACATTGCTCCATGGGAGGAGACGACAACCTAGGTTGTGCGCGTGGGGAGGGGTACTGCCCCTGGCAATATTTTATTCCTCTAGGTTCTAATTCCTTTTCTTCCCCTCTCACAAAAATAATGAAACTGACACCCCCGACCCATTGCTAAACTTCACCATGCCCTCCCCTAGAAAAAGGATTTTAATAGCAGCGTTCAATCGGGCTTAATTTCCACTGCAGAGGGGACTGATCAGTCGCGAGGAAACTATCCAGGAAGTGAATCTATGTTTCCAAATATTTGCCCAGAAGGTACATCGATGACTTGAGACAGAACAGCCCGTCTTCATCCTCACCGCTGGCTGGCACCTTTCCCGAATCCACTATCCGCCTGAACGCTTCACTATGTCATGTAGCGTACAAAATACGGTACCTCGCTCTCATGGCGAGGATTGGCGAGGACAGATGGGCTTGATAGCTGAAGCCTGCCACCGACGGACTTCCCAGCACCTCCGTGATATTACCTTTGGGATCGTGAATATCTGGCCCCCGAGGTGAGTGGCGGGCTCGCACTCTGATTGATGCGCTACGCTTCTGAGTATGGGTGATGCGTGTACAGCGGACTTCGAGAAGTATACCTGTGCCGCCGAGAATACACTTGTCAGGAGGGGTTCTGACCTTCTGGGAATGGTGGGTCAATGGTGGCCCAAACCCCGACATTGGCATCATTTCTGTACTATCGACATGGCGATGGCCTAAATCACG